GAGTTTATATTAATGGTGGTAGAAAAATTTGGAATAGTTATACAACACAAAGTGCATAATCAATGACAATGAATTATACATGCAGAAGTAGAGATTGTTTTGCTGTGTATTTTTTGCCACAACTACATAACAAAGAGTACAAGGAAGAAGAAAATGTTCTAGAATTGATTTTGGTGATGATTGTATAACTCTTTTTTGTGATTACTGTTCTTTTTTGTTTGTTTGTTTGTTTGTTTGTTTTTAACATTTTAGATTACTGTTCTATTTTATTTGTTTATTTAATTAAATACTTTTACTGGGGGCTCTTACAGCTCTTATCACAATCCATATATTGATCCAGTGTGTCAAGCACATTTGCACATATGCTGCCATCATCATTTTCAAAGCATTCTCTTCCCACTGGAGCCCCTGATATCAGCTCCACATTTCTTCTCCTCCCTCCCCCACTCATGAACCTTTGATAAGTTATAGATTATTTTCATAGCTTACATCATCCTCCATCACCCCTCACCCACTTTTCTGTTGTTCTTCCCCCTGGGAGGGAGTTATAAATTGATTCTTGTGACTGATTTCCCCTTTTATCCCCCCACCCTCCCCTAATCCTCCTGTTATCTCTACTCACATTGTTAGCCCTGAGGGGCTTATCTATCCTGGATTGCCTATGTTGCAGGCTCTTATCTGTAGCAGTGTGCATATTCTGGTCTAATCCAATTTGTAAGATAGAATTGAGGTCACGATAGTTGGGGGGAGGAAGCACCAAAGAACTAGAGGAAAGTTGTGTGTTTCATTGGTGCTATACTGCACCCTGACGGGCTCATCACTACCCTGTGACCCCTCTGTGAGGGGATGTACAATTGTCTACATATGGGCATTGTGTCTCCACTCCATGTGCCCCCGCCCCTCCCCATTCACATTGGGTATGGTTTTGTTCTGGGTCTTAGATGCCTGAGACCTGATTCCATCTACACCTCATGATCACACAGGTTGGTGTGCTTCTTCCATGTGGGCCATCAGCTAGATGGCCGCTGATTTATCTTCAAGCCTTTAAGACACCAGATGCTATATCTTTTGATAGCTGGGAACCATCAGCTTTCTTCAACACATTTGCTTATGCACCCATTTTGCCTTCAGCATGTGCAGAACTTTTTAAACACCCTCTCCCCATTTAGTATTCAACCAGTAAGAGAAATAAAGTCTTCATATATGCTACAAAGTAGATAGCATCTGAAGATATTATGCTGACCTAGATAATCTAATCACAAAGGATAAATATTGGGCCTACTTACATAAAAGTACATACATAAAAAGAAAAATGGCTAAGTTTATTAGGGGTTCCCAGGGGCAGAAGGGCAGAGGAAATGACACTTATGGGTTATTAAAAATTCTCATGAAGGGTGGGGTTGCACAACTGATAAAAACTGAATAGGCAAAAGATGAGTGACGGATAGATTTAAAACATCATTTTTAAAAGAAAAAAGAACAACTTTTGAGGTTGTTTATGTACATTCAAAAAATCTCAAGTTTTTGGTTCCTTGGTTTAGAGCAGCAGTTCTCAACCGATGGGTTGTGACCCCTTTGCGGGTCGAACGACCCTTTCACAGGGGTTGCCTGATTCATTAACAGTAGCAAAATTACAGTTATGAAGTAGCAACAAAAATAATTTTATTTTTTGGGGGGTGGGGGTCACCACAACATGAAGAACTGTATTAAAGAGTTGAAGCATGAGGAAGGTTGAGAACCACTGGTTTAGAGGTTTGGGGTCATGGTTTCATAGGACATCCCAGCTAATTAACATGCTTAGTGTTTCTGTTCTACCACCTAGTTCACTGCATCATGCTTGGGACCCTACAAGCTTTCTCAAACTCTCACTCATTGCCATCAGGTTGATTCTGACTCATAATGACACTACAGGACAAGGTAGATATGCCTTTATGGGTTTCCAAGACTGCAATTTTGAGGTGGTTATGAATTGCTCACCGTGAGGTTAGCATAACCACTACAACATCCAGCAGTCATCAATTAGTCTCTATGACCAGAAGCAACAAAGAAGAGTCAGGAATGTGAAGAAGATGCAGAGTGGGGGGCTAATTGCCTTCAAGAGTGACTGCTTCCTTTGCCATGAGACCAGAAGAACTGAATGGTGTTCAGTTACCATTGCGGAACACTTTGAACAAAAATTCCGCAGAAGAATCTTGATCAAAAGAGGGGAAATAGAACAGAATTTCAAATTTCATAGACTCTCTAGGCTTCCTGGAGCCATGGATAGTGGATAAACTCCTGAAACTACTACCCTGAGGTAATCTTTAAAACTTAAACCAAAAGTATCCGCTAAAGAATATCAGAATAATAGTTTGGCTTAACTAGTAAAAAGAGCTGCCTTAAGCATTGTGCTCTTTAAGAACTACGTATAGGAGACCAATCTGACAACAATCTGAAAGATTGGCTAGGAAGCTTAATGTGCTGTGACTGTATGTTAACGAGGGAAGAACAATTCAGAAAAACAGGGTGAGAATGGTTGCACGACCTGAAAACTGTGATGAGTGTCACTAACTGGTACATCTACTGCTGAACTCGTGTATATTTTGCTGTGTCTGCTTCTCAATAACAATACATAAAACTTCGAAGTGGTGGCTTACGAAGCAGGTCCTAGCAATTCTCAAACACGTACATGGGCAAAAGAAATTAGATCTCCCCAAAGAACCCAATATCAAAATTTCTGGGAGGAGCTATGCTTTAAACCACATTTGTTGTCACCAGAGTGAGAATCAATAAAGCAGGGTAAGATTAAAATAAAATTCAGATTACATTTCTCCTGAGAGCTTTGAATTCTTATCTCATCATTATACTTCATTCTGTTCTTAACGTGGCTCAGTAGAAATCATCCTGATTCTTTCCTTGTAAACAACTGCAACTGTCCCAGCAAAGGCCCGATAGCCGTATGTGTACACTTAATTTGCTCTAAATTGTATTCCTCTCCACATTATTTTCACAATTTAAGGATTCTTTTTTTTTCTTTTCACCTTTTATTTTATTTTTTAAAATCATTTTATTAGGGGCTCATACAACTCTTATCACAATCCATACATACATCAATTGTGTAAAACACATTTGTACATTCATTGCCCTCATCATTCTCAAAACATTTCCTCTCCACTTAAAGCCCCCGGCATTAGGTCCTCATTTTTCCCCTCCCTCCCCGCTCCCCCATCCCTCATTAGCCCTTGATAATTTATAAATTATTGTTTTGTCATATCTTGCCCTGTCCGACGTCTCCCTTCACTCACTTTTCTATTGTCCGTCCCCCAGGGAGGAGGTCACTTTAACAACATTTCATATTCCTAATTTCAGTAGGCAAGCTATCACTAAAATAACCATAGCAAGAGCTATATGCTAGGCACTGTTGAGAGGAAACAGATACAAATAAAGAACTGGGATGGGAACTCAGAGCCTCAGGCTCAAAAGTTCATGCTCTTCATCACTGTGCTATAACATCTCTATTCCCTAAACATGTCAAAGAGCAACAGTCTTTTACAAAATCGAGGCTTTTCACTAACACCACTGAATGATCCACTTCAAATTCTAGAATTTTATAAATTATTAGAGTACTCATCCAGCTATACATGTTATCAAAAGTATAAAAACAAGTTCTTTTCTTTCAAAATAAGCATTTGCCCTTTAAAATTTTTTAAACTGTTTTCAATTATCAGAAAGTACATATTTTATGTAAAAATCCAAACAGATTCATAAAGTTAAAAATTTTTTAAAGAATCATAAAGTTAAAAATGACAGTCTCTCCATTCACCAACCATACCACAACCAGTGTGTTAACAATGATAACCAGTGTGTTAACAATGTGGTATTTAGACTTCATATTTATGTCAACACATTTTCTATACATATTAAGACACAGTTTAATTAAATAAAACATGGATAGCTTTAAAAGTCATATGATAGCTTTCTATCTAGAATTTTGTGATCTAGAATTTGTTCTACCAAAAATATGAAAAAGGAACAAGAACATGTGCATTACTGGTTGCCAAGGCAGGCAGGAGGGGCACATAAAAGGAAGACTGAGCATTTAAGACATTCTAAGGTCCTATTTCGGGTGATGGAAAAATCTGGGAATGAGTAAGGGCAATGGTTGAACAACATGCTGGACAAAACTTGCTGCCACCAAACAGAGCAAGTGAAGAATGCTGAAATGGCAATTGTTTTATATATATATAAATATATATTCACCACAATAAAAAAACTAACATAAATAATAAAATAAAACTTTAATATACATACATATAAGGAAAGCAGTGTTAATTCAACTGTTTAAAAACATTTCAAAAATCTCAACCAGCTACACTTACACCTATTTCAGCAATAATAACAATGAAAAAATAATTCAACCACAGACTTAAAAAACAAACAAGAATGTAGATAAAAATAATGAGTTTCCGGCAAAGTTCCAAGTAACTTCAAAATATAATCAATTCAAAGCTACAGTCCTGGTGCTCATTTCAGCACACCTATAAATTCCTAAGAGACACAGAAACTGACCCCTCACATTAGTTTCTCTAAAATCGAGGCTCAAATCTAAGATCAAAGTACATTCCCTGGAGGAAATTGTGGACCAGAGCAGGTTTCTGTTGGCCGAGGAATGCATTCCCAGCTGTCTCTGGAGCCATGTGGATGAGTCTGCCAGCACAGTTTTGACCACCGTATTGGAACTACCAGTTTGGGGCCAATCAATGGTGAACAGCAGAGCACAAAGGCATCTGTGTTGCTGTTGCTAAGACACTAGCTAGTATGGGTCAAAGTACAAATACAGCTTTTCCAAAAAGCCTCCAGTCCCTCATATGCCAATAAAAGGCCTTGGACTTATGAATAACCAGACAGCATCCAGATTTCTTTTATAAACTAACAAAAAGAAAATTTCTTCATTTTTGAGAAGAAAAACACTAGTGCTTCAAAAATATTAAATGCATCACACAATAATCCAAATCTCTTACCTTTGGCTGGCTCCTGAATTCCCAAGAGTCATCATCATTGACATGAAAAATAAAAGGGGTGGAGGGAGAAATATTTAGACAACTAATTTTAAAGGCTAAAATGATAAAATTATGTATATTTGCATGAAGAATATAAAATATTACCTATAAAACTAAATGGCTATTAAAATAAAGAATAGATTTTTTTTACCTAGTAATTACAGAAATCTGACTGATGTGACTCAGACAGAGGAGGGACTATCCAAGCGCTGAATAATGGTAAGTCCTGATATTTCTCCCTCACACATTTTGCTTATACTTTGAAATAAGCAAACATTTTGAAAACATAAAAAAAACTTTACTTGTTATCACTGATTTTATTTTCAAGTAGTTTTCTCTGCTTTGATAAAGCAACCGCTTACTCTGTCTCTTCTAGACCCTACTATAAAAATTTAATTCTATTCTGGTTAAAAAACAAAAACGGACCAACTGAAAGAAACAACTAATTTCTTGTCAGTGAATTACAAGATATTCCATTTCATTGTTGATCTTGCTGCTAATGTCCCTTCTAGTCTCTGAACTGTCACACTTGCAGGTGGTTTCAAATTTTAGAAAAAGTATCAAGAACTCCTATAGACCCTTCCTGCTAATTCAACAACTGTTAAAAGGCCACAGATGCTCTATCACCTCATCCCCTTCCCTCTCTCTTTTCTCTCTTCTCTCTCCATACTTCTTTTCCTCCCCCTACCTTTTCTGCTCCTCTCTCTCTCCCTACACACACACACACACACACACACACACACACACACACACAGGAGCTTCAAAAGGTTCAGAGGAATAGCTAGCAGGTAGACATGTTTTAACTTCGATAGAAAAGGAAGGTAATAGACAATAAGAGGAAGATTTGTGAGACATGATGGAAGCAGGGGAAGACATTGAATGGAGAGCAAAAATTAAAAGCCACAGAGATAAATATTGTAATATATACTATCCTGCTATAACAGATCTACAAGTAGCTATATGAACAGATAGGTGGGCTAAATAGGTATGGGAAGAGAAAACACATATTACCCCAAATCTTTATAAGCTTGAAAGAGAATATTTATACACAGGTGATTATCTTTCCTGTGAATATATCTATGAATGTGGTGAAGCCTGGACATGGTTAAGGCACAGGATCCTGGGTTCTTTAGGGATAGACTAAATGACTGGTATCATTACTTACAAATGTGTCTTAATCTTGATGGAGCTTACATTGAGTAATAAAGTTTATATTTTATATACCTTTTAAGAAAAGAAAACAAAGGAAAGTACTTCTGAAATTGGAATAAAATGGGAACAATAACTGTAGCTGTAGGAATAAATGATCTTTCTAAGACGATTAAAGTCAAAATGCTAAGCCAAGTCTGCACTTGAAACTACACATAGAATTGCTTCCTTCTAAGCATCCATGGGCCGGAACTGATACAATGGCACCTAACACCACCCATCATCTGTCCATCTGCCTTGTGTCTATGTGACATAAATTTCCTACTAAAGTTAATTTAACAAGTTATTTCAGATTAGAACTCTAAAACTTCAAGGAAAGTCTTCCAAATGAGACACACTTGTCTAATAGATTTTACAGTAATATCTAAAATGGCTAACCTGCTAAAGAAAATAATTTCTTTGGAACAACACATATGGGAAAACTACCTGACCGAAGGAGTTGTGTCATACAGGTTGAGGTTACTGACATAAACTATCATCTTTTTATAGGCCTTTATAAGCAAAACAGATTCTGGTCAATTATAGACAGTTTAATTATAAACTAAGCTGGAGTTAAGAAAAGAACTAGCATGTATAAAACGCCCACAAGAGGCCAGGTGAATTGCATGCTCTGATGCCAGTTTTACAAATTAAAAACTCAGGACTTAGAAAATTACATGACCTGTCCAAGAAATAACATCAGGCAATGATGGATCTGGAACTCAAAGCTAGGTCTCCAACTCCCAAGTTTATGTTGTGTTCTTGTTCCACATGAGCCAAAACAACCTCATCAAGTTTCCTCTACACCTAAGAATCTATGACTCATATATTAATAACTCTTGCTAACAGAATTATTTCCCAAAGTAATAATTTCTTCAATAAAAAGGTTACTGTTTGGTGCTTCTACAAGTGGTAAGTTCACCATTTGCTATATTTATCAAAATGCAGATTATCTTTTATGAGAGGAAAACTAAGATACTTAGTATGATATTTCAAGTTTAAATAAAACACCTTTATACAAAGTAAAAATAGACTCTTCCTAAGAAAAAAAAGCAACAAATATGAAATTCCATAATATATGACACATAGCAGAAGATTCTAGGGAACTAACAAATTCAGAACCTAATAATAAAAACAGAGACAAACCAGTAAATTAATTACAGGGCTAAGTTTCCAGGTAGCGATGTCGGTGGCTACAAAAGTAAAGCTCAAATAACCAGCACAGCCATGGGAAACCCAAAGATGTAATTACAGCTCTGTACAAAAATAAATAAGTAAATTAATTAATTAAATAAAACCTTTTCAAAGTGTAGTTGCAATTCAATATGGAAATGTCTCACTTATCCCAAGATCCCTTATTTAGAAATTTCAGATATCCAGATCACAGCAAAGATTCAGGAAGATTCAAGAGAGAAGCCACAAAGCACAAACACAGAAGCCGTCCTTTCTCAGATGAGCTGAACCACTATTTTGTTGTGTTTAACTTTGCATTCCAAAATATTTCAGATTTTAAAAATGTTCCAAAGATAGCACAAAGAATTCTTGTATATCCTTCACTCATTTTTCTCAAATATTAACATCTTCTATAACCACAATGACAAGGATCAAAACCAGAAAACTAACACCAACACAAATTTGCTAATCTACAGAAGACGTCATTGAAATTTTACCATTTTCCCACTGTCTTTTTCTGTTTGAGGATTCAATGCAAGATCACAGGATGCATGGAGTTGTCATGGTTCCTTCCACGGGGGCAGCCTCAGTCTTTCTTTAGTCTCCCATGACCTTTTACTGCTACTTGTAGTCAAGTAGATCCTAACTCATGTTGACTCCATGTGTGTCAGATTAGAAAGGTGATCCACAGAATTGTCAATGATGTTTTTTCTACTTTTCATCTAGGTTCCATAATTCATTGCAATGGCTACACAGAACTCAGACAGTGCTCATTATCATAAGGTTTATTGTGGGTGTTAACAGTTTCAAGTTAAGTAGAAAGGCTCAAGATGGATTGTTCAGTCAAAACATGTTATAAACTTCCTTTACTAATAAGGGTCCAAAGGGCATGTCACTCTGCTGTAAGTCTCAGTCCCAAGGCATTCAGCTCAAGCTTCTTGTTCCACGAAGACAGCTTCCTAAATTAAGTGTACAGGGGCACCTTATCCAGTAAACCTCAACCTGAAGGCACTCAGCTCCAGCGCCTTGGGTCAGTAAGCCCCACTTCCTGAATTATCGGTAAATTCACAGAGGCACCCCACCCCACAAGCCATCCTCTTTCAAAAAAGCACTCAGCTTTACGTGCTCTGCAGGCTGAGAAATCCACTGTTTTGGCTGCTGGATCTGCTGCTGCTCTGCCCCTCTTCAAATGTCCAAGCTGTCTTTAAGACTAAGGATATTTGCTGCCAGGGATCTAGGAGTCCAAAGGATGAGTTCCACTTCTGGTTTTTGTTGGTTTTCTCTCCTGCTCCTAACATAGTCCATTTTATGTGCAGCAGAATAGCAATCTCAATGTATCCTACTAACAGGCACTCACAATTGATTGTTGTTGTTGTTGTTTTTAAATCATTTTATTAGGGGCACACACAACTCTGATCACAATCCATACATACATCAATTGTGTAAAGCACATTTGTACATTCATTGCCCTCCTCATTCTCAAAACATTTTCTCTCCATGTAAGCCCCTGGCATCAACTCATTTTTCCCTCTCCCTCCCCGATCCCCCCTCCCTCATGAAACCTTAATAATTTATAAATTATTATTTTGTCATATCTTACACTGTCCAACGTCTCCTTTACCCACTTTTCTGTTGTTCATCTCCCAGGGAGGAGGTTATATGCAGATCCTTATAATCAGTTCCTCCTCACTGGCCCATCCTCCGTCCACCTTCCCGGTATCGCCACTGTCAGCACTGGTCCTGAAGGGATCATCTGTCCTGGATTCCCTGTGTTCCCAGTTCCTGTCTGTACCAGTTCACATCCTCTGGTCTAGCCAGATTTTTAAGGTAGAATTGGGATCATGATAGTGGGTGGGGAGGAAGCATTTAGGAACTAGAGGAAAGTTGTATGTTTCAAGTCTCCCTCATTCATAATGATATGATTTTTTGTCCTGATGATGGCTGATACCTGATCCCTTCGACACCTCGTGATCACACAGGCTGGTGTGCTTCTTCCATGTGGGCTTTGTTGCTTCTCAGCTAGATGGCCGCTTGTTTACCTTCACGCCTTAAGACCCCAGATGATAGCCGGGCACCATCAGCTTTCTTCACCACATTTGCTTATACACCCGTTTTATCTTCAGCGATTGTGTTGGGAAGGTGAGCATCATGGAACAAGCACTTACAATTGTATCAGAATCTTCCTCCACCTTCTCTTATCGAGACCCATCAGAAAGATAGTGGGAGCAACAGAGACTTTGGCTAGAGAAGCCACATTAAATAATGTGTTGCCCTACACTCTGGATGGACAGGAATCTCTGACCTTTTTTGTTTAAACCATCTGCACCACCCTAATATCTCCAAGAGTACTATCCAGTAATTGTGTTGAATTTTCCTCAATTTGGGTATCTCTATTGCTTCCTCATAATTAATTTCAGGTTATACATACTTTTGGCAAAGAGAACACAAATGCAGTGCTGTATCCTTCTTAGTGCTTCATACCAGAAAACATATGATGCTTGTATGCCTCGTTACTGAGGAAGTCCATTTTGATTATTTGGTTAAGAGTATTAATAGGTTTCTCCACTGTAACATTATTATTTTTCCATTTGTAATTAATAAGCATCTGGACAG